TACTCCACAGCACTCAACCAACTTTGCCATCTGCCATTGTGCTAATAGCACCAGCCACATTTTCGAGCATTGCTTACGGTTTCCTATGTAATACTGAAAGTGAAAATACATCCACCCTTGCCCAAATAATTCTCTCTTTTGGAAACCTCCTTCCCCTTTCTTTCAAGTCCTCCACTGTGACTCTTCAGCTGTTAAGCTGGGATAACAGAAAGGAGCCCCTCATACACCCGTGGGGATGCGGGCTGCTCTAGCCACACAAATAATTCTCCAGTTCACCTCCAGCTCGGTCTGCAATGGTCTTCTCCATGCTGGTTCTCTGAAACCTGTGTCTCCACTGGTTCCAACCTTGCCAGCCACTGGAGAACAACTCCTGTCCAGCGCCTGTTTTAGGGTTGTGCTGCTGCACATCACTGGAGCACTTTCCACATAAGAACAATAGGAATTACACAGTCCATCATAGTAGGAATATTCCTCTTTATTCCCATAGGAACCATCATCACAACTGTGTCCTGAAACAATACAGCTCCGCACTGCAAGCTCAGCTCCACACAAGGAAAGGAGGAAAGACAGGACCTTCCAGCCATTAACTGATGTGCACCTCAATACGAAGTGACAGCTCCTTCAAATCACTCAGACACCCATGGGGGGCAATACAGCCTGCTTACTAGAGCCCAAGCCTAGGAGCTGGAAGGCTGTGCTGTACTTCTGGCTCTCCTCGTAAGTCATTGTTGAATGACCCTTGAAGGAGGTAAAAAGAGGCGTTTTACCCAATTCTCAGTGAGGCATAACCACAGAGGGCCTGATCCTCCTCTACCATGCACTTGCTCTGACTATTTGCACCAGTGCAAAGAGAGGAAGAGGATCTAGGACACCCCCACATCAGAACAATACCAGCGTCATACGACAAAATTCCTCCTTTTTCTTCAAAAGCAATCAATCCATCAACGTGTTAAAAAAATAAGGTTAATGTAGGTGGCATGTTTCATACAGCATTTAACAGGCACCCAAAACACCAGCTGGTGTCATGTTCTGAGGAGTTAACAAGGTGAAACTCCAACACTTCAGTCTCGTTCATACATTCACAGGCTAAAAACAGGCCAAGGCAGCTTTGCCACCGCACGTACCGTCATCCCTGGTCTTAAGTCTGTGCAACGCAGGCGGAGCCTCTCGCCCAAACACCTGGAAAGCTCTGGAGCGAGCAGGACTCACAGGGGAAGTTCTCCAAAGGGGTTGGCATGGGTCTGGGATGGACACGCTCTCCCAAATTAGTATTTCTAGCATTTTTCTTAATTGCTCTTGAGGCCATTTTTAACCCAGTAAGTATAATAGCAATATTTAAAGCCCAAACATGGAAAGAAAAAAAAAAGAACAAAAAAGACAGGGAACAAACCAGCTGCTCTCGCTGTTCAGGATGGAATTGGCATGAAGGAATGCTGAAATGAAAATTTCAAAAGATTTTAGAGTTACAGCCACCTATATAGTAAGAAGGGAAGACTTAACACATTTTGGAGCCTGATCCATCCCTCCCAGCATCGATGAATTTGGAAAGAGTATAAAAACCTAAATGAATGTGAACCTCCCCAATGGGGCACAGCTTGCGAGTACCTGCTCAACATAGAATATTTCTAGAAAATATCATTATAAGCCACTTGTTTGACTCGTGAAAAGCAGGAAGTTCAGCTTCCCCTGTTTCCTTACTTGTTGTATTCTACGAAGTTTGGTTCCCCTCCTTTATTAAAAATGCCAGGTTTTTCAATTAAACTAAATGGGGGGAAAAAAACCCACCCAGCTTATTCTTTGCATGTACTTAATATAACATTTATTCTGCCTCTTTCTGCCTCCCTCAGTTGTGGCTTGGCTCCCCTTGAGCTTCTAAAAAACTTTTAGAATCTCAGCTCCTTGCGAAAGAATATTTTGGCAAAGTAATCCTAAAAGCTTTAAAAAAAAAAAATCTCAAATTTAAAAACACTGAATTTAAATCCTGAACCACTACCAAGATCTTACTTATTCTGCAATCTCCTGGGGATGTTGTGAGGTTTAATTAGCTCCAGTTGGAAAATGCCTTGAAGAGGAAAAGTGCCGTAAAGGTGCCAAATACTGCTCCACTCATATAGATCTAAAATGTTCAAATTATTACATCATAAAACAAATAATTTGAAAATTAATTCCTCTTCCTTGCCAGCATGACTTCAAAGGGACCTCACTTCCCCCAGTATGCTGGTAGGATCACACCACCCGAGCACTGCAAGGTGTCCAAGTGCTGGTAATGACCAAGAATGAGAGTATTTTGAACTTCGTAGTGCCTTCGAGGCCTCCTTCTCAATTATTTAATCTTGGGGTTGTCTGTCTTTGTGTGCAATTGCAGACTTGAGATTCAGGGCATTCTGACAGTAGGCACTCGGCTACCTTTGTAAAAGAAGACTAGGGAATCACTTCCCACCGTCTTCTAAGCAACTGAGCGCCAACACCTCTCTCGAGGAACATTGGGGCATTTGGCAAACACTACTTTTTTGTGATTCGATGAGGACATGTACTTTTTCCCCGGTATGCACCATTGGATCTGGATGCAGAGGGCTGATGGGAAGTCTGTGCAGTAAAGCAATGAACCACAACGCAGAAGCCCTTCTTTGTTCAACTGCCGCTGCAGGAGTGTCGCGGAGCAGATTTGGACTGCTTAAAGAACCACCGCCAAAGGTAGCAGCAAAAGTGGTTTTATTGAAGTAAGATGTTGTAAAAGCGAGGCTTAACAGAGTCCAATGGCAAGGTTCAATCTATTACTTACTGCACAGAGGATATAATAATGATTCAAAGTTACCAATACAAGATCTTAATGCCCTGCGATACAAGGTTATGCACAATATCGGTCACTTACCAAAGATCTGCAGTTGGTAAGGGTCTCTCAACCTTGAGGAGTAACCTTGAGAGGTGTCCCAACTCAAGGGGAGATCACCGCCATGCAGCCAGCTGCTTAGCAGGGAGAGCTCAAAAAAAGCTCACTCAGCCTGTCATATTTATGGAATAAAGTGGTTGGCTCGTAGTCAAGTTACGTGCGATGGAAAACGTGTATAAGACTCCTTGTACCCACAACCTCCTTTGTTCCTTGACCAAATTAGTCTTGGAAGAACCACCTGCTATTCATGTGTTAATCGCATGATCGGTGTTCCGGTTTCCAAGCTCATATACATCAAAGCCCACCGTGTCACCCTGCTCCTGTGTGGGTTTTCAAAGAACAGGTTGGAACTAGAGAAGTTCATGACCCTGTCACTGCCTAGACCTTTACTTCCTTCAGAGCCTGAACCAAACTACTACAGTTTTGGTCAAGCAGTCAAGTGTATCCGTCACAAAGAGCACCCACCAGCTGAAGCAGGCACGGGTGGGGAGTGCAGCAGCGCCCACATGTACCGCAAATCACCCTTTCACTCATCATTATAAGGAGTGCTGAAATACAGCCACTCCAAGGTGAAACAAGGTCCTACCATCCAACCTCCAACCAGTCTCCATGCCTTGCCTCCTGCGAAGGGCGAGGGAGAGCTGCTCTCGGCTGTGCCTCGCTGGGGTCCCAGCTGGTCTCTCGGCTCACACCAGGGCTGTTCGCTGGCCATCTGTAACATGTTTCCTGCAGAAATTCTTGAGCACAGCCACCCCAGGAGTCCCGCAGTCTGCATGCCAGAGCTGCAATGCCCCAGGCTGACAGCTGTACTAGGGAGGAAAGCACTGGGCTGGGAATTACTGGGAATTCTCTCTGCCCACAGAGCAAGCCGTAGCTCGGACCTGCAGGATACCGAGGACCCGCAGTCCGGAAAGCGATCCCAGAACAAAGCTCTAGGGAGCTCTACAGTTAGGAGGAAACTTCCAGACACCAGTTTGTGACATACGCTGACACATCTTTCCTGCAGAAACAGCCTTTGGCTCTCCCGGGGCTCATCTAAAGTTCACACCACCATGGCCCATTATTTATTCAGCTCTGCATGTTCAGTCTGCATTATCTATAACACTTGATACTGAGATAATTTCTGGGTTTGCTTTAGCTTTGCGCTTCAGTCAGAAGCTTCTCTACTTTGCATCCATAAGCCTACAAATCAAAGTATGTCAGCAAAAGACTGCAATACTCACAAGCTGAAATATGAAGCATCCTTCCCTGTGTGCAGACTGGCTTTGTTCTCAACCACATTCGTATCTCAGACCAAAGAGATCATAAAAGAACAGTCATGTATTTCCAGTCTTGCTTATTCTGTTATGATCGACTCCAATGATTTCAGGGGAGGGAAAAAAGGGTCTCCCTTATTTTTACCAACTTGTTTTTAAACAGTTCTTTAAAGAACACACGGAAAAGAGAAATATTCCACTATAAGGAAAAACCAACAAAGTCAGAATAAAAATAAACTTTAAGCCAGCTTCTGGACTTGATAAATAAAGAGTTACTTGCAGAGGAACAGTCTGAGATCTTAGATCAAGACCAATAAAACTGAGCTCAATACTTAACTCCCTTCTCGAGCTGTTAGTAAAGCTCTCCAGTGACCCCGCGCTCACTGCTGCAGAGGTAGGAGAAAGAACGTTTTCTGTAATTGCAGAGAACAATTATTGCCATTTCAGATTGTACTCTGCTTTCAACCTCTCCTAGGTAAGACAGTCTCATCTCACCGTACCTCTGTGAGAAAACTGGAACTAATCAATTCAGGGAAAAGTAGAACCAAATGCCAAGATCTAAACACTAAGGAGCATCGCAATGGGTTCTCCTTAATCACTGCAAAATGGTAACATATTTGCCGTGACTGGGAATTTCAAGAGCACATGATACCAAACTCTGCTCCCATCACTCCAGTGGATTTGTTCCATTCGGGTAAGAGTCAATTACTCAGCACTAACTGCCTGAAAAGGACAAAGCCATTCAAAGCTATATAATTATGTTAAAGTGAACAGAACAGTATAGTGGGTCAAAAGCATGTCTTGCACAAATCTAAAAACAAAACAGAAAAAAAAACCCCAAACCCCTACACTCTGTTGAATTTGGCCCCATATTCTTAGCAGGGAATATGCAAAATGCAAACTACATAGAGAAAGGATAACACTTGTCAAGTAGGGTACACGTTACATGCCTGAGACATTAAGGAACATTTTTAGAAAAAGGGTGAAGATGGATTAAGAGCGTGGGGTGCAAAGTTATCTGGCTTCTGTCCTCCAGAAAAATCACTGCCTTTTTCATGCCCACAGGAATACAGGAACAGCAGCAAGGTAGGGTCCCATGGACTAGAAGAACTTGCACTGTGCAAAGAATAAACACCCAATCAAGTGTTGCACTTTGATAATCAAAATGGCACCTCAACCCTCAAAAAGACACAAATTCCAGAGACAAGTACGTTAATTTATCAATAAGGAGTAGCACTGATAAATAAATTAATTTATATAAAAAAGAAAAGAAGATATTGACACATTTTGGGGTAGAAGAAAAGTCACCTTCTCAGCCCACATGCGCGTGTTTTATTTACATATCCACAAATACCATGAAACACCATCCCAGCCCCCCCACTAGCAGCATGGTCACATGAATTCCATAGATGAGCAGTTCATTCATGAGGCTGAAGTCTACGCGCCTTCGCCCCAGTAACAGGAGGATGATGGAGAGTTTGTACTGGAAACGCAGAAAGATCCGGATGCCAAGGTACTGAAGGCAAAACAAGATAGAGAGTGCCACCCAGAGGATGGAGGTAAACAGGCTGCAGCTGAAGTACAGCAGGAAACGGATGAATCCGTACATCCATCGGGATTTGAGATAGATGTCGAAATTGTTGTACTTGGTGCGCACCAAGTGAGTGGTCCTTACCGGGCCACAGGCCGAATGCAGGCAGGTCGTGTGGGGGCCGTGGAACGAACGGACCCGGCGGGGAATGGGGATTACAGGCATCAGGCACCCCACCGGTCACAGAGTCCCAGGGCAGGATTTACAGGGCGCATATCAAATATTATCCATTAACATGGAAGAGATCCAACAGCCTGGCAACGCTAACTCTTTGCTGAATTTCCAGGAAGGAAGAGACCTGCAGGAAGGCAGAGAAGGAAAACACATTTAAGTAGCCCCAGCAGGAAGAGAGGCAGCATGGCAGATACTCTCCGGCTTGGCGGTTACTTACAACTGCTTTGCAAAACTCAACTTCTTCACTTAAAACAATTTTGCTTTGCTTCTTTGCTTACTGTTTACCAGGCAGACATATAGAAATACAATTCTGTTTCCATCACCGCCAAGTCAGATTCCAAACAGCTCCCTAGTAGCATGCAGTATCAGCACTAGTGGTAACCTTCTATAAGCTTTAGTGTTAATGCAGGAAAGATGAGAACTTTGTTCTGGAATTATCCTGACTAATTCACAGGTCCTTCTTAATCAAACAGCCATCCTGCAACAGTCCACCCATGCGAGTAGTAATATTAATGTATGTGTTTGCATTGGATCATATTTCTTTTAAAGAAAAAAAAAAGTTCCCCAAGTGCTTTTGCAAGTGAATTCTACAGCCCAGACACAGCGGTGATTCTAGATTTCTGCTCATTTCAAATCTTGGCAAAGCTTCACCAAATAAACAAACTTAAAATAATGGAAGGTCTCGCAAGAACAATGAGGCAATCATGTTTTTCACACTCTACAGGATGCACCTCCCCTTGCTCAGCCGAGCCTTGTGGCCGCACTGTCATTGCCTCCAATGGCAAGGCAGCCTTTCAAAGACATCTATAGTTTATTTCTCCCTCTGGGACCCGCAGAGATAAGTGAAATATCTTGATCTTCTGCAGTGTTTAGGATTTATAATCTTAACATCCTTCCACATACCCATTGTTGTTATGTGAGTGATGAGCAGTAGCCTGTTAGCTGCTCTCTGCTTCACCCCAGGCTTACGATGTGCCAAATTCCGGGAATTATGAAGTGACAATGCACTCATCAGATAATGCTAGGAAACAACAGGGACTTCCCCAGTCTCTTTGCACACCCAGGCGTTCAGACCCAGGCAGGTCTTCCCTTTGTTGAACCAGAAATCCTATTACTCTTAAAATTAAAACTAAAGTAATTTAAAAGTTACTTCAAGAATTTTTTACTTTGTTACTAACAAAACTAACTGCAGAGTAAATTATAAGGCTGCAGGAAATTGTACTATGTCAAAAACCTTCTCTGACACAATGTGCATCACTGGGTAAGTCTCTTCACTGCTTCCTGCCTCAAATTACATGTAAATGGAAATTGCAGTTCTGATCTCTTCTGTTTGGCCCCAGGTTTTAATTCCTTTTCGCCATTACAGAAATTTGCAGGCAATCTGTTGGCTCTACATGAATCGGGGGCTAATAAAAAGGAGCATGGGTTAACTTACGATTAAGGAATTTAGGAAATCGAGGTCTGTTCTCAATTATCAGACACTCTCATAATTTTAAGTGCCTCTTTGCCATAATTTCCTGTCTGTAGAAAGGAAATACTAAGCAGCTCGGAAGTGCGTTACAAGAATGTATTTTGCAAGACATACAAATTGGTCAGATACTAAACCAACACTACTTAAAAACAACATAGTTTTGTGCCTGGAGCATGCAACCGAACATGCTTCCCACATGCTGCGTATATAATGCTCAGTGTTTGTTTTCAGAGATATTTTTGGAGTACTAAATTAGCAAGATAGGTTAAAATTCACATACTCCAGATTCAGAGCATTCCGTACCTGATGATGCAGTCTCTCCTTACTACCTCTTTCACCAGGACACAAAAGACAGCTTATCGTTTTCCAGCAAACTCTTACATTGCTACTTAACCTGAGTCCCTGAGCAGCCACAGGGAAATCAGTGCGGACACTAGTAGAGCACTCAGCAAGACCACACCTGAGTGACGAGCACAAACCCCGCCTGCGTAAGCTGTAGTTTGCAGTGGCAAACTCAACACACTGGCTTCACGTCTGAGCCCTGTTTTAGAAGGGGAGTTTTGATTCTGTCAAAACCTTCAATAGGTGAATCCAACAAAACCGCTCAAACAGCTCAGCTGCAGAGACTTACTCTTTGTGAACAGCAGCAGCTTGTTCCCATTTACTGTGCCCACCACATAAATAAATAGCCTTTGGTAGGTTCATGCTCTTTAGATAAACTCAAATATCAACACTGTAACAGCCATGAGCAGAGGGATATTGTGAGAATAAAAGAAACTTTCTGAAATATTACATTTTTAATGGTGCTGCCATCCACTCAGCAGAAGGTCGGTAATCCGCTGCCGTTTCTGGATGCCACTTAACTCTTGTAACAAAAAAGTGAAGTTTTCCTGTGACACCTGGCCTTCTAGGAAGAGTGAAAGAAACTGCTAAGGTGCTTCATAGACTCACAACATTCTACATATGAGTTGATCTAAAAGATAAAATGAGAGAATAAGTTTCAATTTGCTCATTTTGTGTGTTAAAAATTTCAGAATTACAAGGCCCCATCCCAAGCATGAATTTTTAATCCCATAAAGATTCTAAAAAGAATCACGTGCTCAATAATATATATATTACAGCTTACTGATACGTGCTGGAAAGAATCAGCTAGCTTGTATTCAATGCCATACACAAAGACAGGAAAGAGAAAATCACAGATAAAGAATTCTTGTCATCAGTCACCTTCTCCTATCACAGAACCATCACCGTTCATCCAGGGCGTATGAAACACGATGCAGAGAGCACGCACAGCCAATGCTTTCCAAACAGAATACGGAAGAGCAGACCCCCAAACCTACATGTTGGCACATGATGCCTATAAACAGATTTAGACACCCATGCCTTAAGATCATTTTTTGGGGCCTGTTTTAAAGGACATCGCTATGAGGCTGGAAAGCCGAGTCAGTCTCTTCTGGGCATCATCCTACAGCTCAAAGGATTTCAACTCTATGGCCCAGGCAACTCGATGTCAGCCATGCTGCCGTTACCCCAAGCATCACATTAATGATGGCCTCATTAGGAAGGTAAAAATCTGGGTAACTATTCACTTTGGTGAGTTTTCACTCCCTCTCCTTTAAAAATGGAGTGTATGATGAGAAAGCTACCAAAATACAGTGCTACTTCTCTTCATCTATCACACATTCCAGGCAAGGTCTGCTGTTGCTCAGGGTACTCATAATTCGTGGAGGAGGGATGACAGGAAGACCGCAACGTTCACAGATGATGGCACCATCAGTCAGGGCCAGCGGGACCAAGGTGTTCCAGAAGGAGCCAAACAAGGTTAGGGACAATGACAAATAAAGGTTAGTGCTGATAAATGAAAGCAGGGAGTACCGGAAGGAGGGGAAATTCGAACTCCTCCTACATCCTACCAGATCCTAAATTAAACCGCACCGACTTGGGAAAGGAACCGAAGGCAGGAAGCTTAGCCAGGACCTCCCCGTGGCCTGCGAGGTCGAAAGTACAGCCCAGACAACGCG